TTACAGGGATACCTTTACTTACTGCGATATAACGTCGTGTAATTATGTGAAAGTAAACCAACGTTTCGGAGGAATATATCACCTACATCTTCAGGACTCCAGAGTAGACCAAGCAAGAATCAGCGTGAAGAATATAACAAGCAAAGCCTTACATCCCACAAGACCTAACTCCTCATTGCGACTGCTGTGACTTCAAATCTTAAGGCGCGTCCACATTGCTCGTGCTCGTGTTATTGCTCGCCAGGCTTGTGTTCATTAGGAGACTCGTCTGGCTTTTACTTGTGCTCGTAAATCTTCGTCCACACTACTTCAGTTGCTCGCCAGGCTTCGGCGCGTGAGGATCCGTATATTTACTCGTAGTGTGTATAGGCTGTAGTCGTATTTTAATTTATTGGCTATAGTTCTTATATTAAAAAATTAAAATTTGCTTGTCTCGTGACTTGTCATATCGTCCACATTACTCGCGAGCATAGCCAATCACACGAGCACGAGCACGAATAATGTGGACGTGCCTTTACACAACTAATATTGTAATCTAAACTGTAGCCCGCTTTTACGTTTTAAACTGTTTGTTATCTGGCAGATGTGTAGGGTTACTTAGTGAGAGATGGTGTATTCGTTTACGATGCTTGTGCTAAACCTTTGAGAGGCGGTCGGCTGTGAATAAAAGTCCTGGGTTTCGGTAGACTTACGAGTATACAGTCTCTCCCGTGTGAAATTAAATTTATTCCCTTTGTTCCTTGTATTCCAAGTACAGCCTTTTATCTTAAGTGTGGCTAATCGTTGAACATATAAAGTGCTGTCTTGTGAAACATTAATAAAATTAATATAATCTGATATTTAATTTTAAATTTCAAACAATTTTTAAGCATGAATAAAATTAATATTAAAATTAAAGTACCCAAGAAGAATGTGTAATATATTAAAAAAGTAAAAATGAAAACCACCTTAAAAGACGAACATTCAAGGGGCTAATTGTGGGGTTAAGTACACTGCTTGCTGATAAAAATCATGGCGCAGTCATTCCATTCCAGGAGGTTCAGTATAAGACTGGAAAAATTCTTAGAAGGAATTACAGACAAATTGTTTTAATGTTAAGAGTGTTGTCTTCTGTGATGTAACGTCATGTAGTCAGTTTTAAAGTCAACCGACGTTTCGAGGAACATGTCCCCTCCATTTTCAGGGCCGAATAAGAAATACACTAAGAAACCTTATTGAAATCAGGTGGCAAACAGATCTTAATTTAGTTTTCGGGCCTCAACATGGAGGCGACATGTTCCTCCGAAAAGTTGGTTGCCTTTCGAGGGGAATAGAAGGCGATATATTCCAGAATTATTCATAACGACCGTTGTGAGAGCCTCAAATACTACATGTTTCAAATGTGTTTAATCATATTAGAAGTGAGTCTTACTTACTTCCTTATGAAGCTGAGCCCTTCTTGAGAAGCCGCTAGTTGTGCAGCTACTCAAGAACTTCCCAGCATTTTATGGAACCTAAAGGTTCATTACCGTGTTCACAAGAGCCCTCCACTTGTTCCTATCCTGCGCCAGATCAACCCAATCCATACCATCCCATCCTATCTCTCTAAGATCAATTTTAACATTGTCCACCCACCTACGCCTTGGTCTTCCCAGTGGTCTCTTTCCTTCTGGCTTTTCCACCAATGTCCTACATGCATTCCTCTTCTGCCCCATTCGTGCTACAAGCCCTGCCCACCTCATCCCCTTTGATTTGATCATTCTAATTATATTTGGCGTAGAGTACAATTTATGAAGCTCCTCAATATGCAGTTTTCTCCAGTCTCCCGTCACTTCATCTCTCTTCCGTCCAAATATTCTCCTCAGCACCCTGTTCTCAAACACCTTCAGTCTATGTTCCTCCCTTATTATTCGAGACCAAGTTTCACACCCATACATAACCACAGGAAAAATTATAATTTCGTATATTTTAATTTTTATGATTTCAGACAGCAGACGAGAAGACAAAGGGTTCTGGACTCAATGGTAGCAAGCATTACCTGAGTTCAATCTCCTCTTAATTTCCTTCTGAATCAAATTTACTTAGTTCATTTTCCTTATTATGAAGAAAGAAATAAAAGTAGGCCTAAGAATTCACAAGTTGCCTGTGTATCTCCCCTAACAAGCCGGAGTAGTGAAGCCGGAAGAGACGGCCATTACCAGACAACGACACGGTAAACACTTCCCCACGACAATGAATAAACATGCAAAAATTGTAGGAATGTTGGACGCGTTGTTTTCTGTGCGGTCCGTATTAATTCTTCCGAGACGTAGGGTCATGAGTCCCGCAGGACTCGGAACCAACAATCCCTCTACTGGCGAGGACAAGCAGCAGTTTACCTGACCCAACTGACCAATTACTTCTTTCCGTAATTTCCTGTTTATTTTAGTGAACCGAACAAGAAATAAAACAACAAGGAGCACTGCTCATTCTGCTTGCTCGCTTCGCTTACACATCGACCCTCAAGATGACAGTACAAACAGATGACCAAACAAAACAAAACTCCGTGGCCTGTAGCCGCAAGCCAACTATACCGACCGAGCGATCGCCGCTTGCCGGCGAAGTTAGTGCCAACTTTAGAGGATAGAGGGTGTCACGTGGTCAGCACAGCGAATCCTCACGGCCGTTAATCTCGGTTTTCTAGACCGAAGCCGCTATTTCCTTAAAATAGCTCCTCAGTTATGCTTACTACTTCTCAGAAAATCTGGTAGCGCCGGGTATCGAACCCGGACCTCTAACTCTGTAGCCAGGAACTCTGACCACTAGACCACATATGCGGTCCAAGATTCCTCCGAAAAGTCGGTACACTTCTAAAGGACGACACGGTGTCACATCCCAGAAGCCAGCACTCATGATATTAACCGGCGTGCTAACCTAAAATCTCATGAAAATTCTTGTTTTTCACATTTTTATGTCTTGCAGTGTTCAAACAGTGAAAATTTGTGCGGTGTGAATTAAATTTCCATAAACTCCGTAAGCAAGAATTGTGCTAGCTTTTGCGACGGTGTTTACACATACCAACTTCAATCGAATTTATATCGGGGGGGGGGGCTCTCTGAGCTGCTGAAGTAAAGGACAGCCGTTATGTAGTGAGTTGTTTGCATACTACAATCTGCCGCTTCAAACACACGCCTCCAACGATAACCACAGTAAAATGAAATTACTCTTGTTGTAACTGTATTAACGGGCATCAATATGAGGTAGTTAAGGGATATAATATAAAAGTAATAACAAATAGCTCAAGCGGTTAGTCGCTAGCTTCCCACCGCGGCGGCCCGGGTTCGATCCCGGGTCTGGTCAAGTGGGATTTGTGGTGGACAAAGTGGCGCTGGGGCAGGTTTTCTCCGAGTACTTCGGTTTCCCCTGCCAATCTTCATTCCACCAATTGCTCCACAATCACCCTCACCTATCATCTGTGGCTGGTACAATAGGCCAGAAGTGGCCGCAGTACAAGGGACTTAGTCCCACCCCACTAGCAATANTGCCGTGCTGTTCTGTGAGTAACGGTAATATTTTGATGTAAATATATGAAATATAGTACATTATATTAAGAGTGCTTTTTGAGGTTCAGTGTGTGCGTGTTATTTGTAAGAGTACGAGTACAGCCGTTACTATGCAATAGGCGAATCAACAAACGGCCGTTTCTAGGCAACGAATCTGTAAACACGCCTATAATACAGTAAATGCCGAAAGTTGTGTTTTCCGTTGGGTCTGATCCGAGACTATATAACGAGGACCCCAAGCCAGCTGAAAGGGTGACTAAGAAAAAAGTTAAGGGTTGGCAGTTGAGAGTTGAATTCTGTAAGAGAGGCTCAGAAGAGATGGTGCTGACAGCTGGCAGTTTTCAGGAGTGAACTGAGAAGAGTTCTACATTGGTGGCTGTGAGAACAGGACCTGAGGGCGGGAAACTTAAGGCGGCCCTTACACGTACGAGTCTGGCTCGCGAGTTCGGCTCGGCGAGGAGCCGGGCTCGGAGTAATTTCACCACACATGTATGAGCGTGGCCACCCATACATGGACGAGTTTGGCTCACTAGAACCCGAGCCGAGTCGGACTCGCGAGCCAGACTCGTACGTGTATAGGCCCCCTGAGACTCTCCACCGTTAAAGCCGTTACCAGGAAACGGCTGTTGAAGACACTGCGGGCTGGAGAAGACTTAGTGTTTGCAGCATTGATTTGTAAAGTGTGGAGATCAGCAATGGCGCTGTTATTACTTGTAGTTCAGAGTTGTGTCAATAAATCCAATATCCAGTCCATATCGCGTCTATAGTCACAACCCTAAAACGTGACAGTATTAAACGTCAGCCACGATGTATCATTCCATAACATGGAGGACTAGAGAGGGACGCGGGGAAAAAGGGGGGACGTGAGTAGTACGAAAGCTTATGCAAGAAATAATGAGATTTGCCGTTGAATTCTCAGCGTATGTCATCGTTAAAAAGTGTACGAGTAATAGCCTATACATGTATATATATATATATATATATATATATATATATGGTACTCTGTCAATCTAACCACCAGTTTCACAAACATATACAAGCCGCAATGGCTTTTAGAAGAAATTAACTATCGAAGAATCGATGCATATCGACGTTTTAAATGTGGAGCAATATAGTTATATATTCAGCATTATGTAAACCCCCCATGTAAAAAAATAACAATGAAATACTCCATATATCTACTAAAATTTGTTCTCAATATTACGTCATAACTTTCTATCAAACTATATGACATAATAAAATAACTACAATATTCACTGATTACTTGGAAATGATTGCATAAGCAAATCGCGGAATTTATTATTGATATGGATAAATTCTAACAACATCCGAAAACTATCATGATATCCCAGTTTTGTGTATTCGAAACTACAAAAATTCAAATAAAAATTTCAATCGTCAAGTGCTCCCAACAATTTATGTAAGACACTAGGTCACATGAAAACATACAAAACACAAAATGATTTATAAACAACTCACCGCATGTTACCATGACTACGCTAAACAGGACGTGGAACCCCGTCATATGCTGCAACCACAAGCACATCAACTGACGAGCTCACCGACTGTGCACAGAATGAGTACGCTTCATCTCGATACACACTGATCCGTCCCGCCAGACTTACTGCGCAGACTCACGCCATTCCGGAAATGTGTACACCACGCATCTCAGTTCTTCTTCTTTAGTTCCTTATTTAACGATGCTACAGACATATACAACGTCAGCAGTAGTCACCTCGCTATACGTCCGTACAACTGCAGTCACACTTTACTCCCTTAAAGACTGATTGTTAATTGCTGCTGGTCCTCGCCAGCACAGTGATACCTGGTTCCGAGTCCCACGGGTCTCATGACCCCATTTTACTGTCTCACGGATCTGGAAACCCTGGGCCGTTTCCACTTGAATTCTTTAAAAACCGAGCCAGTCAGAGTTACTTCACGACTGGCGGTTTACCGCCAATCAGCCCCTTGAGGCCCACGACCAGAGATTTCTTTTCAACTCCACCCTTGCGGCAACAGTCCTTATGTAACATCTTCTTCACGAGAGGATGGGTTTGTCTCTTGTGGATATACTTGTCCTTTTGTCAAGCGTACTTATCACACTTACATCATGTTATTGAAAATTCTTCCTTTTGCACTATATACGAGTCCTCTGTCAGTCCAGACTTCGCAAAGCAGATAATGTCTGTCTTACGTATCTTACGCTACAACGGCAGCTTAGTCACTTGAACAGTCGTAAGCTTGACCGCCGTCAAGTTTAAGCCTCTTATATTTTCTATGTCTGGCTTCGTATTGTTCTATGCTTCGAACATATTCATTCTCATGACTTTGTATTACTTCTGCTTGTTGACTGCAGAATTTTGCCATATAATCGTATATGTACAGAAGGTTGAAAGCCGTCTGAAAATCGCGGACCGGTGTGCACCTTGGAAATTTTCCAGTGGTGCAGAGAACCTTGTTTTGCAGGCGCTACAATTTTAAGAAGTAGGTGTCGGCAGTAAATTCCCAGGCGACGCAAGCTTAAGTCATTACTGCTTTATGTATGGGTAGTTTAATGTTGGCGCGTACACACACTTTTGAATAGGGAGTAGATTCTAATCTTCTAAATAATTCAATTCAGTCCGGACCTCACAGGAAACACATTACGTCTCCGCCTCAAAGACTAACCAGCTATGATGTTTAGGGAAACAGTCGCTGTTTATTGTGAGAATCATAGGGATCATAGGGAACACACAGATACACACTGTGGGCAGAATTCGAAGTTTTGGTATGTTAAAACAGGTGGTACATATAGCAACCAGGGAGCCGGGGTAGCGCAGTCGGTATAGCGACTGGCTACGGGCTTGTCGGAGTTCAAGTCCCTGTGAGGTCAAGAATTTTCTCTTTTCAGCGTCGTCCAGATCGGCTCTGGGGTCCACCCAACCTCCTATTCAATGAGTACCAGGAGCCCTTTACGAGGTGGTAAAGCTGCCGGGGCGTGAAGGTAACCACTCACCTCCAACTAGTGCCGAGATCAATAAAAGGTGGATCTATACATCCACTCCCCCATACAACTTTACCTTACATGTAGTAACCGCTGAGGCTTCAAAGGATTCTTGCATCTGGGAATTTATACTGCTTATATCTAGCTTCTTGCTGGTTGTTTGCTTTTCTTATACTTCGACCCCGAAGATGAAGGTATGTCCAACGTGTTGGTAAACTCCTACCGGGCTACACGGCGTCATATCCCAATAGATAGCATTCTTCAGTCATCCTTATGAGAACTTCAAATGCAATTGCATATATATTTTTGAAAGGGAAAACTGAAGGAAAGAGACAGCTTGGAAGATCTAGGTGTATATGGGAGGATAATACTCTATAATGCCACGACTCCTTCCTTCAAATTCCATTCCAGTTCGTCAGTCATCCAATCATATCTCCCTATAGAGTATATATGCTGAAAGCGTGTAAAACAACCTACCATTACCTCCTACTCATTCGACGTTATGCAACTTTTACAGTTGAAACAGCGTCATTAAACATATGAATCAATATTTTTATTAGAATTATAAATCGAGATGACGTCTGAAAAATATTTTACCCCGTAATTTAATGCAGAATATATGCATACTAATAAGCTTCATAAGAGGAATGTTATCAGCGCGGGAACAGACCACCAATAAATGCCATTAAACCTACACACAGATTCGTGCCCAGTTTAACGCTACACAGTGTAACACTGATTAGTTTTGATGCTCTTTATTCTGGTACCAGTATTTGTAAATATTTCATCAATAATAACAACGTTGCAATGAATAACGTAAATAGAAATGACCCGCATTCTGATTGCAGCGCTAAAACAAAGAGCAGTGTTTAGGACATGACATCCTGACACGAAGAAAGGCTTCGAGAGAGGAAGCTTCAGGCAAAGCAATCAATAATTGATGTCTTCTTCAAAATGAAAGGTGACAATTTCTCGGAAAATGAGCTACAGACCGGCTCATCTTCCGGAATGTTAAAGCCAATAGTTTTGAATTATTCATATTATGTAAGGCATTTTTAAACAAGTAAATAATTTTAACTATATCTTCCAACATTATAAGGGCTATTCGGAAGGTGACCTCCGGTGATCTGTTACTAAAACAAGCAATTAGAAAACAAACTACTCGTATATTATATATATGGAACTGGGGTACTGGTCTTATTGGAGAACAAATTTTTGTATGCCTGTGTCAAAGAAATTTTCGGCCTGTGAACTCAACCACGTTTACATACATTCGATCAAATCTTCATTATTGTTGAAGCGCTGAGATCATAACCAGTTCACGTAGTTAAACAGGTGGTAGTTGCTCGGCGCAAGATCAAGGATGAAACGTTGGTGCTCAAACAACTACCAGTTGAAATACTCTAGCAGTGATGAGTGCGAGCAGCTGCATATGGAGGCTCATTGTCATGGAGGGGCACTAAACCGGGTGTCAGCATTCCACGCCTTGTTTTTCTGAGTGACCTCAACCAGTTTTTCTTTTTTGTGTTTCGCAATACATTTTGGTCTATACTTTGAAGTCACTAAAGATGGCCCACCATTTTGAACCTTTGTTCGCCCGCCCATATTTGAACAATCTACACCGTCTTATAGTTCATTCGCTCATTAAATTTTGGCAGTAAAACGCGCTTAATTCACGATTGATTTCCGCAGCATTCATGTTTTTAGCGTTAAGAAAGGGGATAACAGCGCAAATTTCGCAGCTGGCGGGTTTATCAATCGTAGAACACATCATAGCCCACTCTGTAGGGACAAGAACAAACACTAAGTGACCAGTTATGTGATGGTTTACGAGGCAATGAGTCATGTGACGCTACCTCGCATGCGCTAGCTCNCGCTAGCTCTCCCGCCGCTCCCAAGTTAGCTATCAAAATTAAACTGGGGCTACTTTCCGAATAGCCCTAATATTTATTGTACACTTGTAATAATTTACAAGTAAGGAAAGAACAGCCATAAAATCTATACTAAAATTACCTTTTCATTATGATGATTCATTTAGCGCTCTAGTTTATAGGAACGCTTGATGAGATAAACCGGGAAATGACGCTATTCAGAGTATATTAAATTGTCTCCTTTTGGCTAAAGAAAAACACGTCGTTTCAGAAGCTGGCTCTGCTTCCATCAGGTGAAAACAGTAAATATATTGGGAAGGGTTTAATATCCCGGGATCTGGAATGGAAACCTGCTCCATTAAATTAACTCAACAGAGTAGGTTTAATGACTGCCTCTGTGGTTTAGTGGTTAGAGTTCATGGGTACAGATCAGAGGTCCCGGGCTCGATTCCCGGCGCTATCAGATTTTCTGAGAAGTAGTTGGTCTGAAAGGAGTCCACTCAGGCTCGTGAGGATAATTCAGGAAATATTTCAAGGAAATAGCGGCTCCTGTTTAGAAAACCGAGATTAACGGCCGTGGGGAACCGTTGCGCTCACCACGTGACACCCTCTATCCTGAAAAGTCGGCACTATCTTCGCAGATAAGCGGCGGTAGCTCGGTCGGTATAGTTCCCTTGCGGTACAGGCCACGAAATTTGTTTTCTTTGTTTGTTTGAGGTTTAATAATTTTTCTTGATGACGGAAGTAGAACCATGTTTCGAAAATTTGTGTTTCTTTGACCAAAACGAGAAAATGGTGGATGCCCAAAGTGTGTGTCAGTTTGACAACATTATTTTCTTTAAAACATTTAGACTACTCTAACAGGTTTCAATTCTGAACAGTGAAATTGCAGATTAGTTTCTGTACTACAGAGCTATTCAGGAGTACACACCGAAGCAGACTCGAGTTTCCTCTTCATAATTTATTTATGGAGTTAAAAATGGAAGGAAATTGCTTTTGGTGTAGTCTTTCCTTCTTAATTTCTGAAACGCGGGTTTATTTTAAATAACGCTATAAGAAAATTCAGTTCCTATGTTTCAGGAAACATGTTGCTTCTCCAGTATAAAGAATAACATGCATATGTTCTGTCAACTCAACTTATATTATTATATAAAACTGTAAATATAAAATTACTGGCTACACATTTCAACCTTATGGGACATCTCATGCTATACTATACTTCTATCCGTATAACTGATATTATTATTTGTATTGCAATATTGGCCAATGCGCTGCCACGTCATTTAGTAAATATAGACGGGGTTTGGGTTGGCAATTGAATTTACTGAACTCTTACAACTCGTGATTACAAGTAAGGGTTATGCTCTCACTGTTCTACACACTTCGCGAATCACTATAGGACACATTAGGTCTTCTCAGTCTGCTAGAGCCTCCACTAGCCGTTGCTAAGTAGCGGCTACTAATGCGGAACTTTCCCCTTCCTCTGGTTTCCCGAGAGCCGGAGTAATATAGTCGGTATAGCGACTGGCTACGTGATGGACGACTGAGGGGTCACAGTACGAGTACCGGTAAGGTCTAGAATTTTCAATTCCCCATGTCGTCCAGACCGGGTCTAGGGTCTACGTAACCTCCTATCCAATGGGTACCGGGGGCTCTTTCCTCGGAGGGAAAGGGGCCGGGGTGTGAAGCTGAAGCTTTTTATGCCCCCCGCTTC